GTGCTCCTATCACAGGATAGGGGGGCATTTTGTTGGGGTAGCTTTGCGTTGTGTGGGCGCTTCGATGTTCTTGTTTGCAGTTAAGGGGGATGATTTGAGGAGCTTGAGCACGGCTGCGGGCGCGCTGCACTTGGCAGCACCAGAAGGGCGGGAGGAGGGTTTGGCGGCTTGTCGGTGCATGTGTGGTATTTTGTTTCTGCTGCTCTCGAAGGGTCTGCTGCTGCTTAAGGAGCATTCCGTTAACGTGGAAGACCAGTTTTCCGGAGAGGCCGCCAAACCACTTGTGCCACCAGCGGCAAACGGTTTTTCTGGCGTTGGAACACATATTCGCTTGAGAGGACTTCCTTGGGACGTGAATGAAGATGCCATCATCCGGTTTTTGAAGCCAGTTGTTGACGTTACAGAGTTGGATGTTTGTGTTTGCGTTGGCCTTAACGTACGCTAGTATAACGGCCTAGAGAAGCCGACTTTCAAGATCTTATCGGGATATATGTTGCACTAATTGGTTACTGATTACTTCGACGGGCCCACGTCCATCCTGCGCATATGCTTGCTTTGGCAGCACAGTTTCTCATCCGCAGTAAACAGCTCGAGCGTCCATTTTGCAGTTCGTTCCATTGGCAAAGAGCGCACTTGATCTGAGATGCGAATGCTGCTGCTGATGTTTGCCATCTCAGAAGCGCGTGACGGGCGAGGCATATGTGAACGTTCATTCAACAGATATGCGGGACGTGGCAGTGCGGACGCTTCATGGTCGCATGATGGGTCCACGGTGGATAGAGGTGAGGAGGTTACACTTCGCTCGTCTGTTCAGCGAAATGGCTTCTGTAGGAGGTCCGGGGCGTGGACATGCGGCCATTCCGTGGATTGCAGCATCGGTTGACAATTTTTGTGTTGTTGCTGGTTAGTGTACGGTTGCATTTTGCTGTGTTTCTGTGTTTAACTAGGTGTTCCGGTCAAGTGCCGAAGACTTTGAAAGGGCCATGCAACGAAGGGTAGCTGTAATGAGCTCAGGCACGAAGGACGGCCGGGACGCAGATGTTAAGGGCCTTAACTTGGTGAGCCTTTGCGGGGCTGTTCTTTTTAAGACGGCTCCATCTATCTGTGGGAAGTACCCATTCAACAGGGGCAAGCTTGAGACGGAAGACTAGAGTAACGTTAGTGTTTGCTGCAGACCGTGCTGAAGCTACGGGGACTGCCATGGACTTGCACTGACAACGACGTTGTCAACTTCTTTCAAGGTTCGTCGTATGTGCCCTCCCAAACATTGCCTGTATCAAACCTTTAGATTCTTCAGGTTTGTGGTGACCAACCCTTTTCTTCAGAGCATGGTTTCGATATTGGGCTGGACTCTGTTGTCCTGGGGGTTGCGGTGGACGGAAGGATGAACGGAATTGCGTACGTCGAGCTAACCGACGCTGCCACTGCAGATGCAGCGAAGGAGAAACTGCACAGAAAGTACCTTGGTCGGAGATTTGTTGAGGTACGTATTGGGGGTTGATGCTTCGTATTTATCACATGGCCTCTTCAACATGGAGCTAGATGCTTCATATTTGCCAACGTACGTATACTGCGGAATGCGTGGGTTTTGTTGAAGGGACAATGTATATTGCTTTGCTTGCAGGTATATCCGTCCACTCGAGAGGAAATGCACAGAGCGAAAAGGCCAGGAAGAATTGTGCCATCTGACATGGGTGTCGGAGCTATGCGCGTTCAACGTCCAGTAAATGTGAGATGTGCAGCCCCACACCATAGCAATCTTTTCTTGTTCTTACTTTACTGTGGTGCTTGTGTACAGCCTTCGCCGTCGCTTGTGTCCCTTTTTTCGTGTCAGGCTCGCATGATGAGCGGAACTGCCCAAGGACCCTACAGCGGAGGATACGGGGTAGGACCGCAGGCATATGGAGCCATCGGGGGAGGTATGGCGTCCACCCAAGCTTACGGTGGCATGGATGGTATGGGCGGTCCTCAGGGAAGCTATGCTGGCTACAGCGCTCCCAGCCACGATATGTACGGAGGGTATGCGAGCGCTGTTCAGCAGGCTGCGTATGGCCAAGCATCTCCACAAGGTGCACAGCCGGTGCCTGCACAGGATGCAGGCCCAGTTCCTGCCGGATGGAGCTATACTGTATTGAGACTCCGGGGAATGCCATTCAATGCTAATGAACAACATATTGTGGTAAGTCATCAGCGAAGGCAGGTTTTGGTGTCGTTCTTAGGCAGATGTATTTAAGCTTGTGCATTTTACGTCATCCGTGGTCGCCAGGTTGACAGACACCGCCTTTTGCCCGTCGTTTGTTTGACAGCAATTTTTCCAAGGTTTTCACATGACGGCAATTCTCCCCTCAACCATCCCGATAGATGGCCGGCCGTCTGGAGAGGCCTATGTCCAGTTTTCTGATGTTAGTGAGACATGGAGAGCCTTGCAGACGAGGAATGGTGCTCGTATGGATAGGCGATATATTGAGCTTTTCCCAGCAAGCAAGCAGGAGATGACGTTTGCAGCACAAGGCGGAGACCCGCGGGGTGGGTCGAGTGACGCAGGTCACCAATGGGCACGCATCTAGTGCTGGCATTATCTGCTTCTAAATGTTCCGTGGCGACCGATATTTTCACTGCTGCTTGCTTGCGCATGCCTTCGTTGCTGTCTGGGCTTTTTGTCTGTTGGCTTTTGCTGCTGCAGTTTTTAGGGAGCGGGACAGAGCGTTTTGACTTGAAGCATCATCTTGAGGCGGTTTTTCTATTTAAGAGGAAATGCGGGATTCGCTGGGACTCATTTTTCTTGCATTCAATGGGAAGGGTGGACCTGTGGGAAGCGTTACGAGCCGACTTGGGTCAGTTCCCAGGTGGCTCCCCACAAGGTCATGTTAACGAAAATTTTGGAGCTGGCGAACTTGGCCGAATGGACTCCACCGACGGTTCGCGTGCCCTTTCCACTAAGCTTCGGATCTATTCTTTTCTCTGGCAGATGCAAAGCACGTGCGCGTGGTGTCGTGTTTGTGGCGGGTGAAATGGCCCCAAAAGTCCTTCGACGTATAGGCTTCTCAGTACACAACTGAGGATGTTGATTCAGGGTTAGCGTTTGCTAAGGTTTGAGCAAGCCTTAAATGGAATTTGGCTGCGCTCGTTCTGGCTTCGAGTTGCCGGCTGCATTTTTCTCGCTTCCTCCAGTATCAGCGCGTGGATGGGTAGCATTCTGCGTTCCTAGACTACATTTGTGTAGGGCCACGTGCTGCAAGAAACCGCGCGGTTTCACCTTTCCAGCTGGCTCAGCAGCGTCGGCGGCTGGCCGCTTGCGGCGCCACCATAGGGATTCATCTGGCGGACGACGAGTAAATATGCACTTTTCTTTTGAGGAAGCGGCTGAATATGGGAGCTTTTCTGGGCAACGACCTCCTGCAGTCCCTGCGTGATCAATTGGCCACTGCAGAATAGCAAGATCAGCGTGCGATCCAAAAGGTTGACTGGGTATTGCAAGGTTGCAAAGGCTGCGCCATCGTTGCTGCATTCTCAGTGCCCAGTGACAATTTTCTCAAAACAAAGGGCCGGAGGTGACAGTGACACACAAGGACACCGCGTTTATATTAGCTTAGGTGGAAAATGTTCCACCAGTACTTAGGAACTGCCCACGTAGCTGCGTATGTCATTAAGCTCAAACACTGCCCCAGCGCAACATCCAAAGCATCGAAGAATCTATCCATGTAAAAAGGCGGCGCCCAGGGACTTGCGGTAACGGGGAAGCTTTCATCATACAGACAAATGGAGCGCGCGTCACTTGTTCAGCATAATGGCCTGCCACAATAAATGTGTTCGCCTGGTTGCAGTTTTTCAAACACTTTTTGCAGGGCCGTCTACAGCGTTTAGATGTGGCTGCTATCCGAATGGCCTTGGCGGAGGGTTTAGAGGCAAGCTCACTGTCTGTGAAATGCTGGCAGCTGGAGGAGAGCGAAGAGGCTGTGCGGCCTTTGCAGATTTGCAGAGTCCACGTCAGCACATCAGCATGTACAAAGATGTGCAGGTTTCCGCGGCTCTCATGACACATTTGCTTCAAAGAGATCCTCTCAGACGTAGCTCATGCCTGTTTGCCTAAGAGTATTGTATTTAGACATCCAGATAGGTCTCTTGCCCTTTATGAGCGTCCTCATGCATATTATAGGCAGCTGACGTAAATCAGGGACGACGAAGAGACGGTAATGAACGGTAATGAGAATGCCTCAGCTATTGTTGAATTCGTCGTCGAGGATCCGTTCGCTACTGCTTTTTTTGCAACTAAAGAGCACCAGTTGACCACTGGAGTTCTGAATTATTCAAAACCAATTGACAGATCACGGATGTCGGGCTGTGAATAAAGAGGATGTTGCCCTTAACGAGAGCATTTCTAACAGCACTCTTTGCAGAATTGATTTGCGACTGTTTAGGTTTGTAGGGGTGCGATTCAATGCATCATTGTCGCACGTCTCACCATCCCGAAAGTATTCATTGCCGGAATTTCCAGTCCAAATGGCAATGCCTGAGCATTCTTGCAAGTACACGGATCATAACTTGCATAAATTGATGCTACGGTAATGATGCAATACTCACAGGTGTAAAATGGATGCTGTTTGGAATACTGTTCCAAACAGCATTCATTTCCACAAACGCAAGGAACGTGGTATATTTCCACCCGCGCTAATCCTTGTGTGGATATTACTACGTAAAAGCCTCATAGTAGGCAAACCCGCAGCATGTATACCACGCCGTGGAGCGGTGCTACTAATATGCTTCTTCAATTTGTGCCTAGAAGCCCTTAGTAAAAATATTTGTCTGTCTAGAGCAAGAATGCAAAAACCTGAACGCTGCTGCACGCCTAGAACAAAATGCGGCACGATTTCTAGAGCTTTGCCTTCACCTTGGTGGGTCAAGCATAATGATGCAGGAGATTACCAGGCTGGCAGTTCGTACAAAGACGGTATAGAACTGTACGGATTTTAAGCTTGCTCTCCTCGGCACTAACCATAAAAACCACGTTTTCTCACCTCGCATACGCCAACGCGACCCCACAAAGTGAAGATTTCACCCTGGTGCTGCGTTGAATGCACAGGTGCTGGAGCTAAAATGAGACCAAAACACCTTCACCGCTTGTCGCCAAGGTTTCTGCAACTCTCACAATCCTAATGGAAGAAAGCTACTGCTGGTCGTGGAAGCGGGACACGACAAAGTGCAGCACACTTTGGCGACTAACCGACGGTAAATAATAGCTTTGAGGACTTTCGAAGGTTTCGCTTGGTACTGCTACTCGCGTAGATGTTTGGTGCAAGTACCATGCATTTACGCGTGCGTCGGCGTCGACTAAAATGATATGAGTAGCAGGAAGCACTGATTCTTCTCGGGGAGGATGGATGTAACATGCAGCGGCTCTTGATACAGTGAATGAGCCTGGAATATAGGTTGGGAACGTGCACTTCCTGCGCGCGTACATACGGTTCTTCCTGATGCACGAGCCCAAGGGCAGCACATACCAGCCTTGACTATGTGTACCCAACTTCTCGGAGGAACAAATATTTCGTGACTGCCTCGCAGGGCTTGAGAAGATATGATAATTTTCTCCTGGTTATGCTGGACCACCGATAACTCAGCATTCTGCGAAGGCTCACGACAAAAACTTTCGCGCATCAACGGCTATGGACCTTCATAATGTGCCTGCCAAAGATGCTTTTATAAATGTTTTTATTGGAACGGCAGCCGATCGGGGCATACAATCTGCATTCAATCCCTACAGCTCTATACTGTGTCACGGTGTGGCACGAGCTCGAGTTGCATGGCAGCTAGGGGTACCTAGTCAAAAAATACTGCAGTCGCTGTAAAGCAATAATTTCCATAATGTCTGCTCTTGTGAATGATTGCAAACAACCCATCGGTAGGCAACATATCGCCCCGGCAGCAAATTCATCTCGGAGGAACTGTGGAAGGCGCAACACGTAGTTCCGCCTACCAAACAAAGGTGTAGTTAATGACCTTGGTTACTCATATCTACACAACAACGAAGTCTAAAGGATTAGCCTGAGTAAAACACGCCTTCTGTACAACCCATCAACGCTGGTGCAGGTAGGAAAGTTCCCACTTGCCCATCTGCACGAACGTTGATGGGTTGGTAGTCCCAACTGCAAAAGCGGAGTGTTCCAAACTTCACACTCAGTAGAGAGTGTTGCCGCTTTTGTATAGCATCCAGTTATTCAGAAAGTGATTAATATACCCACGCAAATGCTTACGACCTGTCATCTGGTTCGGAAATTCCGAGAATGCACACTTTTCGCGCTGGCGAGTTCTGTGCTCATGGTGCAGTGAATCATGATCATAGAAACGTGAAACTCACAGGCTAAATCCATGGAAAATGTTCTGCGTAATCGCTTCCTAATGCTGGAGGCTACTTTGCATTCCACTAACCCATCGTCTTTTCTAAAAGACCACGAAGATACAAAAAGGAAGACCAAAAGCGAAGGCAGTCTACTGGAGCAGTACTGAGATACGGAAGTTAAGGTAACGAATGGGATTAGACAAGTTACTGAAAAAGGTAATGTAACTAGAAAAAATAGCAAGCATATTACAAAATATTATATTTTAATGTTCAAAAAAAGTAAACTGATAAAGGAAATCGAACCCCCAACCAGATTACAAGTCAGTGGCTCTACTTTCAGCTACATCAGCAGGAAGCACGCCATCGAATTTTTTTCGTAAAAAATGCTAACTGCTTCGCCCGTACGCTATGCAAGGCCTTTGGCGTGGGTAGAGGAAAATAGTTATGAACAATAAATTGAGTTGCATGCATGGTCTGACTGTTACATAATTGACAGCCATGAAAGGACGTTTATGCACGATATGGCATCGGAAAACAACAGCTGAGCGTACACACGCCAGGTGGAAAGTGCTGCTCAACATACGGGGCAGCTTACGTTACCTGGTTACTCTCTCCGGTAAAATGTTGGGCAATGCCTGTTGCGGCAACAAAGACCAAGCGCATCCCTCTAAACTGTGCGCAACAACGCCTTGCCAAGGGAGGCAAAATAGCTGCAGTTTTCCCCTAATGCTCCAAATGACTTAACGCACGAGCAAATCAACCCTTCAAGGGCAAACTGCCGTTCAACTTTGCACTTCATGCTACAAAAGCCTATATGCTTCTGGAATACTCGCAACTTGGAAGATACCGGATAAGGTCCACTACTCATAGACCGTCTCAGTCTGCCTGGAGCTAATCCCACTGAACTCTGAAGTATATACGGAAATAGTGGAATGCTTCACAAAATCATTGCTTTCCACTATATTCCCTGTCATCTTTCCTCCAAAGGGACCAAGATGCCTCGCGAAAACGTTTTGGAGAGAGCTCCGTACAGAACAGCTTGCGCTTAATTTCGATTATGTCCTCATCTGTGGGGGCACCTCCAAGCTTGTACAGTTCCAGGGCTTCACTTAGCTGCTTTGCCAATGTATAGTGGAACCCGTATTTGCCCTCAATGGGGCACCTGGGCGTGTGGGAGTACGTCGTTGGCACGCTCAGGATCATTGCTTCCCAAGCTTTTCTCAGCTCTGAGGTTGGCCCCAACACTTGCAGCGCCCCATAGACAGCATTAAACGCCAGGAATCGACGTCCTAAAGATTCTGCGGCTACAGCAGGCCTCAAACCGTCTACGGGAGCCACCATAGAAAGAACAGTGCGAGATGCCAGCCTTTGCGCAACATCGAACATTTTCATTGCCTCCAATTTGCAGATGCTCCGTTGCAGGAACCAGGTTCTGAGTGCTTTAAGATGGAAAACCAAAGGCTCACATCTTACACAGGTTTCCAATGGACCCGTTTTGATATCTTCCCGTCTAACATTTGGGTCCAACTGAGGCAAGTGAATAAACGGATGGCTATCTAAGTCACATACCATTACCGTACGCCTTCCCTCTGCTGCAATACAGCCGCCTTCAGAAAGCGCACCACTGGTTGTCGCTGGCGAGGAACGTGGCTTGGCCAAGAGCATTCGCCGTAGCACTAACTTCGTATGCTCTGACGCCTGTCCACAGATGCCTTGAGACGCTGTCGCTCTCTCATGCATTGAAGGACGCCCGTGTGAATGGCCACCTGGCTCACCTGACCTTGCGACGGGCCCTAGAGCTGCTGATGGTGCTGTAACCTCATCAACGCTCTGGAGCCAACCTTCTGGTGAACCCAACCTATCGTCTTGAAGAACATGCAACAAACTGTGCTGCCGCTGGGAACCCTGTGAGGACTGTGGTGCAGGTTGCACCTCCTGGGAGCTCAGTCCCAAAGATCCATCGGGTGTGAAATCTGATTGATAAGAAAAAAGGGAAGGTAGGAACGAAACTCCTGAGGGAAATAAATGAGCAGGGACGAAGCCAGGCGTCGGCCGAACAGCCTCTGGGTGAACACCGATCCACTGGGAAGCGGTGGCGCTCCCTACAGGGGCACTGCCCGCGGATGCATCAGCCTTCCAACTTGGACCCGCCACAGCATGATTAGTATGCTCCTGTTGAGGCCGTGCGTAGCCATCCATTTCCAAAGGATTTCCTTGAGCAACTTGTTGTTGCGCCGGCTGCATGCACGAGCCAGCAGACGGTTGAAGAAACTGCGCAAAGTTGTCTTGAGCCTGCACTTCAGAGCTTAGGATCGTCTCTGCAACAGCTTGCAATGGGAGTGAAGTGCTCTGAGCGCCAGCCTCAGGTATCCACTCGCCGACTTGAGCGCACAGCGATGCGAGCTCATCCGCATCCAGACTCGTCCACTCATTCTCAACAAATAGTGGGTTTTTCCCGCCATGAAATCCATGCCTTTCACCGCCAGCTGCAAGCTGCCTCACCGTGGTCCCTTCATTGATCTTCCGAGCGCCACCACAAAGTGAAAACCACACGGACACACCTACAATGTAGGAAACGACGAGCCAAAATGTGGTGGAAACGGCTTTTGCTCGCTTCTGGTGACATGCTGAGCTAACACCGCCTTTCTGCTTTACCTGTGGATCTGATCCACTTACATCACGCAGATTGGCTGTGGTCGCTTTCCCATCATGTTCAGATGCTGCTTCGTTGGAAAGTGGCACGAGCGGCGACGCGGGCCTTGCAGCGAAAGCCTGGCCAGCCATTTTTAGCATTGGCAGATGTCCAGAAGGAAAAGCTAACTTCCTTATCTATTTGTTCCAAAAATAAAAGGAAACGCAGGTTTTTCACATCTGAGCACCTCCCCAGTAGACACTGCAGCATGGCACGACATGCTAGCAAAAGCGGAACAGAATGAGAGTATAGGCTCAAAGGTCACATATCCAACCTCACTACAACGCAAAACCACGGATTTATTCGCTTCCACGAGAAATGCGGTTGACAATCCCGGAATACGTTTTGCTTATGCTTCACGAAGACGGCCGCTCCCGTCGAACGGTCTCTTGCCGCTGGAAACACGATGGGCGAGGCATCACACCTAAATATTTCACTCCCTGTTGAAATAACAAATCGTTATTGGTTGTCTTTTTAACTTTGTCACGGTGGCAGCTTTCCTAGTTTTAATGGAATGGTGCATGTGCAGCTCGCTGGATCGAGGCTCACTCGGCAACAGCTGATCCCTCTGATATATTGAGCCCTTCGGCATTCAGCACAATGACCGGACTGATGTGATATGGAGAGATTAATGTGTAATATTTTGTGTAGTTGCTTGCCCTGCCGCTTCCTCTTTTTCTCCGTAACCTGTTGGCCAAATCGTGCGCCAATGCACGCTCGTCATGCGAAACACAACACGAGTAGTAGCACTGGAAGTATCCATCAAGTTCATGCAATGGATTAACCGCTTCTGCAGGCTATATCAATGGTAGGGGTATGTCAATTCACCAGCTGACGCAGTAGGGCGAATGTAGGGACGATGCCTCGGCGGTTATCAACATTTTACGCAGCAGCAGAAACTACTGCGCAGCAACAGCACCAACAATTTAATTAGCAGCGGTAGAAGGGGGGATGTAGTGACCACGAATATCCAGTAACACTCAGTAACACCAGAGCATTCTTCAATGAAGACTCTGTAACTCCATTGCCAGCTGAGACCCAAATCTGCGTAGGGTCGGGAACAGGTGGCATCGCCGACGCTTAAAAGAGAAAATTGAAGTGTCCGGGAGTCAGTGGGTCGACGGTCTGACGACTGCTGGAAAGGAAGGCTGAGCTTACATAGGATTGACGAGGCTTTTTCCAGCAGCCTCTGTCTCTAGTACCCTCGGCCAGGCTGTCCCGAACGCTCCGCATCGCCCACTACACTAGAAGGAACAATTTTGCACCACGTCTTGCTGACGACACTGTGCTTGAGGCTAACAGCTTGGCGCAGTAGAGTACGCCTCTGTCCTCAGCTATCAACTGGCAGAAAACCACTGGTTCTCTGCTTTGAAACAACACGGCTAACACCTTGATGCTCATGTTACCTCCTTGGATATTCGTTAGCCAAAAACTGGTTCACGTACTAGCTTACGTTCACCACTGGTTGCCAGGCAGGCACTGCTGTAGCCCGCAAGCTGCCGTCGCCGCTGCAATACCAACAATATCTCCTGAAATTGTTCCAAGACACTGGGCAGCGCACGACTCTACCTCACTGCGTTGGGAGTGCTTCGCAGCTTCCCGTGACTCATGTTCGGTTAATGGAACTGTCAAAACTTCTTCCCTTCTATATCTCGTGTATTGTAGTCTGCACTTGAGCACTAATTCCGGGGCGGTGCTTATGTAGCTAGATGGACCGCCTGGTACAACTATAATGCACAAGCAACCCTCCACAGAGGACGAAAAAAAACGTTTTGAACATTCCAGCGCCAAGGGTTCCTCGCAATCTGGCACTCAAAGGCGCCAACGTACGCACAAGATGGCACCTGTTGTGCCCAGTGGAGATCCGCGCCATACGTGCCTAACACTCTCTAACCCATTGTCACCATGCGCACCATAAAAGCCACGCTGTGGAACAAGTAAAAGGCCAATCCTTTGCAAGCTCACCAGGACCGCAGCACAATTCCCTGGCAGCGATCGGTCGAACAAACAGAAAGAAAATAGGACAATGAACAAATGGACAATACAAATGATCGCAAATTGCGGCGGTTCAAATGCACCCCGCATAAACCACCCAAACCTAAATATTTTTTGGGATATCTCCTACAGTTGCTCCGAATATCCACACAAGAGCGGGGCTATTGGTATTTCTTTGACACTCCGTGAGTTTCAATAAGACAGTTTGCATGCTGAGTTCCGCAAAGTTCTGTAGGCAGTTCATCCGCAGTAGAGCGAGGCAATCCCTCTTGCCGGAAATCACCGCCCACCCGGGAAGTTCCTGTCATCTTGTCTCCATACCTCCCAGGATTCTCGAAGGAAGCACCGGGGGGAGAATTCCAAGCAAAACAGCTTGCGCTTGATACTAAGAACTTCATCTTCCGAAGGCGAAGATCCTCTTTTATACAATTCTAATGCTGCGCTTAGCTGCAGCGCCAACTCATGATGAAAAGCATGCTTTTCGTTGTACGAAGAACGACAAGGGCGATCATACAGCGTCGGAATTTTCGTGGTAAGATCCTGCCACATTCTTCTCAACCTTCGATGGCGGCCCCCCATAAGTTTCAGAACTGTATGAACGGTGTTGAATACCAAGAACCGACGTCCTAAAGATTCTACGACCACTGAGGGTCTCGAGTGGGCAACTGAGCTAGTCATAGATGATAAACAACGCTGGGATAAGCTGAGAGTGGCACGCACCAATTCCTTTGCATCTGCAACGTCGAGCACCTCTTTTAGAAACACTCGTCGGACAGTCCTAAGAAGACGGGCTATGGGTTCGTTTCCTGACCAAGGGTGTGAAACAGTTGCCTGTAGGTCATCCATATCCATGCCTTGCATCAAAGCAGGCGCCCGAACAAAAGGATGCTTGCCATTGTGGGAGCTTGAATGCGCTGGGGTCGATGAGAGATCGAGTGCTGCTGGCAGTCTCGAAGGTCCACCTAAGAGGCGTGAAGGTCCCGGTGAGGTGAAGGAACCACTTTGAGCTGGAGTAACCCACACTCCGCCAGACACAACAGGTTGTTTGGAGCCGTCGGAGGAGACTAATGTAGTAAGGCGATTCCCTGTACACGAAGCTGAAGTGGTCTCTGGAGGAGTGGCCGGTAACCACAGTGGTGATGGCTTCTCCAAGAATTGCGCCTGCTGTGCACCTTGGGGACTGGTCGCAGTTGATAGCCATTGGCCACAAGGAAAAAAGGTAGATACAGCTGGAAAAAATGAGACTGCATTATCTGCAGAGACGGTTTCCGCCGTCCGCTGAACAGTCCCTTGCAGCCTTTCCACAGGGTTGCTGTTAGTGGCATCACCTACAGAGCCATCATGAGCAAGCCTAGTATTCTTACTATGAACCTCCCCCCACCAGTTAAAACCATCCTGCAACATGGGCTTGCCTTGGGGGTCTGTCAATCTGCCTATATCGGGCAGTGTCTCGCTTGGTTGCGCCCCGGACAAATGACTTGGCGTCTGCATACTTTGCAATATGTGCTGACTCGTTCGTCCACTCGAGGTTGAAGCCACCTCCGGCAGACGTACTGAGGGGCTTGAACTACCATGAGGTGCAAACGAAGGCTCCCATTCCCCCAGCTGGGAACACAGCACAGCGAGCTCTTCCGCAGAGAGAGCAATCCACTGGTCTTCATCGAAGAGTGGGTTTCTCCCAGAGCTAGGAGCCTCCCCTCTCTCACCATCTGCAAGTCGCCTCACCGTCCGGCCGCTACGGATCCTTCCGCCACCGCCGCACAGTGTAGCGAATAGCAAGGACACTCCCACAAGGACGGCGATAGTCGGCCGCAACGAAGTCCAGGGAGCCCTTGCCCGCTTCAAATACCGTACTGTGGATAAATCGGCCGTTTCTTCAATGTTTGGCCTAGATGAGTTGATATGGGGCTGGCGTTTTGCTGAATTCTTCCCAAGAAAGGATCGCCAATCCTCTGAGGCAACTTGAGGCTCCATGGGCGGCAACTCGGGGAATGAACTTAAGCCCGCGTCCATCCTTTTTGGAAAAGGAAAAAAATATACAGAAAAGGGAGTGTTACCTGAGAGTGCTTCTTTGAATGAGCTCAGCTCAACTAAGCCTTGCGTCGCTCTATATCAGTTGCAGGTGTCCCATGGTATCCAGATGATGGCTTGGCATGCGTTGAATATACGACCGTTTGTAACTCAGAAAGCGCTGTTAACTGAGTAACAACAAACCTCCACGCTAAGAACCCCTTTCCAGAGTA